GGGGGGGGGGGGAGGGGTACACTTCACTCTCTGTAACCCACCACTCTGCGTAGTCCAGCAAGCTAGAGTCCCCGTACCAGCCTATAGGAATACAAAACCCACCTAAAGCAGTTCAGATGCTCCTGACAATGAGTTCTGAATGATCTCTGAAGAGTTTCAAAATCATATCAAAAGCACATTGCATTTGCCCAAGCCAAAAGCCCATCAACAAAGACCCCCAGGATGCCCCCAGGGTGCACAGTTCAGGTTGATCATTATGAGTTGTTATGAGTTGCACCCCAAGCTGTCCCGCCATTTGTAATCACTATTTATTCCTGTTCTGGGCAGTTCTGTCTGAGGTTCGGCTGGCTGGTGGAAATGGACCTTGTCAAGGTAGGGTGGAGCTGCTCTACAACCAGACGTGGGGCACCCTGAGTGATGAACACTGGGACAGACGAGCTGCTGACGTCATCTGTAGACAACTGAAGTGTGGCCCCTCGGTGGAGGCTCTGAAAGGAGACACTTTTGGGGCCGGCGCTGGCCATGTCCTGGAGAAGGTGGATTGTACCGGGGACGAGGGGGACGTTTCACAGTGCTTGTTGGGAGCGTGGACCGAGAGAGACCAGGAAAGAAGCCGGCACAGTGCTGGGGTCACCTGCCTATCCTCCGGTGAGTCCCTCTGAGTCCTCTATACATAGAATGAGAAGATTCATGACCAGTGGTTAACTAATGGTCTTTGCCTTGCAGGAGTCAGCGGGGTCAGGCTGGTGAATGGATCCGGTCGCTGTGACGGGACTGTTGAGGTGTCTGTGGACGATGAATGGAGAAGGATATCCCTGTGGAACTTCGACCTGCGGGAGGGAGCCATCATTTGCAGAGAGATGGGCTGTGGACCGCTGGTGAAGGTCCAAGAGGTCTTCTCCACTCTTGGCACCAAGACTATAGAAAGATCCCGATGTTTTGGGTCAGAGTCCAAGTTTTCAGAGTGCAGAATCAGCCTGTGGAAGGCCGATGCCAACCAGCTGGACATCCATGCTGCCGTGGTGTGTTCAGAGACAGGTAGACAGCTCGGAGAACCTGTATCAGAGGTACACCAAGAACAGCCAACAGCACAGGATGCAGTTCTCACATGTTTCACACCTTCAAAGAGAAAGAAAGAGCTAGTGAGGGTGAAATGCGTAAGAGTTGTATCCTGCGCTGTATCACCCCTTAGTGACGGGAGACTTACACTGCAGGTGAGCAGCTATGTAGGGCTTTCGGAAGCCGGTAACCGCTGAGATCAGCAATTACCGTTCATTAATGGATGCCTCAGTACTGAGCCATCCATTAAAGGATAATGAAACCCTTGCGGTGTTTTGCAGATATCTCTGGCCAGCAGGGAGAAGATGTATGCAAAAACAGGAAAAAAAGTTAACAAAAAGGTTAAAACTTACCTGTGTCTCCGCCGTGCGGATTCTCGGGCGGACGCAAAGGGTCATGGGGCGGGCGCCTGCGCAGTAGAGATCTTCTGCCGGGAGTGACACAGGGTAAGTCAATGCAGGAAGTGTGCACCCGCACAGACTCAGTGGGACAGAGAGGGACAGGAAGAGACAGGAGTCTGTGGTGGATCAGAGACCGGCACCAATGGTGGAGGGACTCCCGAAAACTACTGGAAAGAAGAAGATGATCGGATCCAGAGGCATCATTTAAAGTGACATTAAACCCTCAGATGTTGTAACATAAACCAATACTGTAATGTGCGCCTTACTGTAATCCATGGTAGTTTCCCTTCTCTTTGCTGCTCTTCCTTTTAAATCTGTATCTCTTCTCATGCTGGGGGAGAACTTCTGTTTTGCAGCAGACTGCCTTGTCTCTGGAATGGATACACGGTGTCTGTGTGCAGGTTCACAACCTGAGCCAGCACTACAGGAAGAGGCACTCAGCTGCAAAGGGAAGTTCTCCCCCAGCATGAGAAGACATGAGGATTTAAAAGGAAGAGCAGCAAAGAGAAGGTTTCTTCCCCATTCTATTTGCAGCTCTGTTAGAGAGATTTACTCTTACTTCCTGCTTTCCTTCCTTTCTCCAACAACAACATAGACAGTAATACAAATTATTGTCTAAGGGAAAGGCTAGAACCTCAGATTTTTATTTCTGTTAATTTTGCTTTTGCAGGTTTTGCCTTATTTCCTCTCTGGTGAAATAGTTGTTAGCAGAACCGTAACTAAGGGGAAATCTCTCCAACAGAACACCAGATAGCACTAAAAACCTGACAGGAGTCCTGATTCCTCCTCACACTACTAAAAAACTAGGAAAAAAGTTTAGCATTTGTCATGGCTGGACAAAGAACTTTCTCACCAGGAACAGATACTTCTTATGTGACAAGGAAAGCCAAAAACAGCCAGAGCGTGTAGAATGGTCGGCCGAAACGAAACCAAATCCATGCAATTATGTAAAAAAATAGAATAAAAATAAACAGCTTGGGGTTGCCCTCCTAATTCATACCAGACCCTTTAGGTCTAGTAGGAATGTTAGGGGAGACCCTAACAAAAAGAAAAAAAAAATGTGGTCCCTCAGAACCTTAATCTAAGCAGTGGCCTGGCAGTGCAGGAAAGGAGTTAGCGAAGCAGAATAACCAAACCAAATGCTGAGCTGAACATTCAGCAATTTACTTTATGCTGTTCGGCCCCTTGGAGAACAGGGGTGAACAGAAGGGAATGAACTGCCGAACGTTCACCTCAGCCGATCCAGATGTTGCATCCCTTTGCTTCGACCGAAAGTGCTGATGCAGTCAATGTACAGCTCAAGTTTTTGAGAGAAACATAAAAATAATCACTGTGTAGTAAATTTCCTGCTTTGAGAAGATTTTTAATCAGTATCTAGTAAATTGTCAAATTTGAAAACCACATGTAGTGTCTTCTGTATCATACAATGTTAAATACTTAGAAAGCGATAGGAAGCTTCAGGGTCTCATTAAACTAGCTGAAAAATATGCATTGTATATGTAGGTCAGAAAGAACAAGATATATAATATGACAATTCAATATACTAAAAGTTGGTTCTACATAAATGGCTAACCAAAGCAGTATGGTGGACATTATTCACCGATCAGCCATAACAATATGACCATCTGCCTAATATTAAGTAGGTCCCCTTTTGCTGTTAAAACAGTCCTGACCCATCGTGGCATGGACACTGCTAGACCTCTGAAGGTATGCTGTGGTATCTGGCACCAAGCCGTCAGTAGCAAAGCCTTTAAATGTACGTTGCAAGGTTGGGCTTCCATGAATTGCACGTTTTTCAGCACATACCACAGATGTTTAATTGGATTATCTGGATAATTTGGAAGCCAATTCAACACCACAAACTAATTTTTGCATTCCTCAAACCATTTTTGAACCAATTTTGCAGTGTGACAGGGCACATTATCCGGCTGCCATCAGCAATTTGAGCTATAGTCATTCTTCTATTGGATTGGACCACACGGGCCAGCCTTCACTTCCTACATGCATCAGTGAGCCTTGATCATCCATGACCCAGTCACTCGTTTCTCAGATTTCCTTCCTTGGACCACTTTTGGTAGGTTCTAAACACTGCAGACCAGGAATATACCATTTTAGTTGCTTTGACCCAGTCATTTAGCCATCAAAATTTGGCCCTTGTCAGAGTCGCTCAAATCCTTATCCTTGTCCATATTTCTGCTTGCAAATGAAATGTCCACTTGCTGCCTAATATATCCCACCAATTTCCAGGTGTCATTGTAATGATATAATCAATGTTATTCACTTCACCTCTCAGTGATCATAAAGTTATGGCTAATTGGTGTATAACTCTTATACAGTATAACATGAAGTCAGAAAAGCCTTGCAGAATACTAATTCCAAAACACACCTAACTTCTAATCTGTCACCTTATTTCCTAAAGTGACCCTGTCTCTAAAATAAAAAGTTAAATAAAAGCACCACCTCTTAGTGACGGGAGACGTATACTGTATGTCCTTGTCACTAAGTGTCCAAATGACTGCTCACGTACACTGTACATGAGCAGCTACTTGGGTCTCTGCAATGCCAGTATCCACTGAGATCAGCGGTGACCGTTCATTAATGGATGCCTCAGTATTCAGGCATCGATTAATTAAAGAATACAGCTTTTACAGACACAAGATCCCTTTTAGGAATCGGGCGTCTGGCAGTGATAGGACTGTGGTATGTACCGCACTTACTATCACTGTTTGACAGCCGTACACATCGGGCTTAGCAAATCCCAATGTGTATCAGCTTTTAGCTACATGTTTCTATTCCGAAACATTGTATCAGACTTCTGATCATTCTGGGAACGACCAGAAGCCTTTAGTGAGATCTGAATCTGGAATGCTACAGGATCAGCAAGTCAGGGTCAGTCACTAAGGTTATTATTGGCTGTTCCTAAGTTTGGAGCAGCCTAATAATCTCCCTCTATACCCCTCCAGGTCTCTCCCTCTATACCCCTCCAGGTCTCTCCCTCTATACCCCTCCAGGTCTCTCCCTCTATACCCCTCCAGGTCTCTCCCTCTATACCCCTCCAGGTCTCTCCCTCTATACCCCTCCAGGTCTCTCCCTCTATACCCCTCCAGGTCTCTCCCTCTATACCCCTCCAGGTCTCTCCCTCTATACCCCTCCAGGTCTCTCCCTCTATACCCCTCCAGGTCTCTCCCTCTATACCCCTCCAGGTCTCTCCCTCTATACCCCTCCAGGTCTCTCCCTCTATACCCCTCCAGGTCTCTCCCTCTATACCCCTCCAGGTCTCTCCCTCTATACCCCTCCAGGTCTCTCCCTCTATACCCCTCCAGGTCTCTCCCTCTATACCCCTCCAGGTCTCTCCCTCTATACCCCTCCAGGTCTCTCCCTCTATACCCCTCCAGGTCTCTCCCTCTATACCCCTCCAGGTCTCTCCCTCTATACCCCTCCAGGTCTCTCCCTCTATACCCCTCCAGGTCTCTCCCTCTATACCCCTCCAGGTCTCTCCCTCTATACCCCTCCAGGTCTCTCCCTCTATACCCCTCCAGGTCTCTCCCTCTATACCCCTCCAGGTCTCTCCCTCTATACCCCTCCAGGTCTCTCCCTCTATACCCCTCCAGGTCTCTCCCTCTATACCCCTCCAGGTCTCTCCCTCTATACCCCTCCAGGTCTCTCCCTCTATACCCCTCCAGGTCTCTCCCTCTATACCCCTCCAGGTCTCTCCCTCTATACCCCTCCAGGTCTCTCCCTCTATACCCCTCCAGGTCTCTCCCTCTATACCCCTCCAGGTCTCTCCCTCTATACCCCTCCAGGTCTCTCCCTCTATACCCCTCCAGGTCTCTCCCTCTATACCCCTCCAGGTCTCTCCCTCTATACCCCTCCAGGTCTCTCCCTCTATACCCCTCCAGGTCTCTCCCTCTATACCCCTCCAGGTCTCTCCCTCTATACCCCTCCAGGTCTCTCCCTCTATACCCCTCCAGGTCTCTCCCTCTATACCCCTCCAGGTCTCTCCCTCTATACCCCTCCAGGTCTCTCCCTCTATACCCCTCCAGGTCTCTCCCTCTATACCCCTCCAGGTCTCTCCCTCTATACCCCTCCAGGTCTCTCCCTCTATACCCCTCCAGGTCTCTCCCTCTATACCCCTCCAGGTCTCTCCCTCTATACCCCTCCAGGTCTCTCCCTCTATACCCCTCCAGGTCTCTCCCTCTATACCCCTCCAGGTCTCTCCCTCTATACCCCTCCAGGTCTCTCCCTCTATACCCCTCCAGGTCTCTCCCTCTATACCCCTCCAGGTCTCTCCCTCTATACCCCTCCAGGTCTCTCCCTCTATACCCCTCCAGGTCTCTCCCTCTATACCCCTCCAGGTCTCTCCCTCTATACCCCTCCAGGTCTCTCCCTCTATACCCCTCCAGGTCTCTCCCTCTATACCCCTCCAGGTCTCTCCCTCTATACCCCTCCAGGTCTCTCCCTCTATACCCCTCCAGGTCTCTCCCTCTATACCCCTCCAGGTCTCTCCCTCTATACCCCTCCAGGTCTCTCCCTCTATACCCCTCCAGGTCTCTCCCTCTATACCCCTCCAGGTCTCTCCCTCTATACCCCTCCAGGTCTCTCCCTCTATACCCCTCCAGGTCTCTCCCTCTATACCCCTCCAGGTCTCTCCCTCTATACCCCTCCAGGTCTCTCCCTCTATACCCCTCCAGGTCTCTCCCTCTATACCCCTCCAGGTCTCTCCCTCTATACCCCTCCAGGTCTCTCCCTCTATACCCCTCCAGGTCTCTCCCTCTATACCCCTCCAGGTCTCTCCCTCTATACCCCTCCAGGTCTCTCCCTCTATACCCCTCCAGGTCTCTCCCTCTATACCCCTCCAGGTCTCTCCCTCTATACCCCTCCAGGTCTCTCCCTCTATACCCCTCCAGGTCTCTCCCTCTATACCCCTCCAGGTCTCTCCCTCTATACCCCTCCAGGTCTCTCCCTCTATACCCCTCCAGGTCTCTCCCTCTATACCCCTCCAGGTCTCTCCCTCTATACCCCTCCAGGTCTCTCCCTCTATACCCCTCCAGGTCTCTCCCTCTATACCCCTCCAGGTCTCTCCCTCTATACCCCTCCAGGTCTCTCCCTCTATACCCCTCCAGGTCTCTCCCTCTATACCCCTCCAGGTCTCTCCCTCTATACCCCTCCAGGTCTCTCCCTCTATACCCCTCCAGGTCTCTCCCTCTATACCCCTCCAGGTCTCTCCCTCTATACCCCTCCAGGTCTCTCCCTCTATACCCCTCCAGGTCTCTCCCTCTATACCCCTCCAGGTCTCTCCCTCTATACCCCTCCAGGTCTCTCCCTCTATACCCCTCCATCTCCCTCTATACCCCCTCCATATCTCTCCCTCTATACCCCTCCATCTCTCTCTATACCCCTCCATCTCTCTCTATAACCCTCCATCTCTCTCTATAACCCTCCATCTCCCTCTATACTCCTCCATGTCTCTCCCTCTATACCCCTCCATCTCCCTCTATACCCCTCCATCTCTCTTTATACCCCTCCATCTCCCTCTATACCCCTCCATCTCTCTTTATACCCCTCCATCTCCCTCTATACCCCTCCATCTCTCTTTATACCCCTCCATCTCCCTCTATACCCCTCCATCTCTCTCTATACCCCTCCATCTCCCTCTATACCCCTCCATCTCCCTCTATACCCCTCCATGTCTCTCTATACCCCTCCATCTCCCTCTATAACCCTCCATCTCCCTCTATAACCCTCCATCTCCCTCTATACCACTCCATCTCCCCCTCTTTAACTCCCTATCTCTCTCCCTCCATACCCCTCTCTCTTTCCCACTAATTACAGCGCCATCTCTCTCCCTCTATATTCCTATGTCTCCCTCTATACACCTTCTTTCTCCGTCTATACCCCTCTATCTCCCGCTATACCCCTCCATGTCTCTTCCTCTATACCCCTCCATCTCTCTCTATACCCCTCCATCTCCCTCTATACCCCTCCATCTCCCTCTATACCCCTCCATTTCTTTCCCTCTATACCCCTCTATCTCTCTCTATACCACTCTATACCCCTCCATGTCTCTCCCTCTATACCCCTCTATCTCCCACTATACCCCTCTATTTCTCTCCCTCTATACCCATCCATCTAACTCTATATCCCTCCATCTCCTTCTATACACCTAATTTTCTCTCCCTCTATACTCCTCCATGTCTCTCCCTCTATACTCCTCCATGTCTCTCCCTCTATACCCCTCCATTCCCCTCTATACCCCTCTATTTCTCTCCATCTATACCCCTCTATTTCTCTCCATCTATACCCCTCCATCTCACTCTATATCCCTCCATCTCCTTCTATATCCCTCCATCTCCTTCTATACCCCTAATTTTCTCTCCCTCTTTACTCCTCCATGTCTCTCCCTCTATACCCCTCCATCTCTCTCCCTCTATAGCCATCCAACTCTCTCCCTCAGGACTCATTTAAATTACATTGCACCCTTACAAATCACCTCTAAATCCTCCTTTTCCAGTGACTTCCACCAAAATAGCAAAGTTTTATGGAAATGTCGAATATTCCATGTTTTTCATCCCTAATCATCTCTTATGGGCCATCAGAAAACATGAACACGATACATTGTTGAATGTGTATGAGCTGCAGTGAGGAAGGTGACATCTGGATGTGCTACATTTGGCCATACACTTGCTGGTGGATGTAGTCCAGATTCAGTGGCCCAATCACATACTATAGAGGAGCCTTTGGATCGGGGTCTCTGATGGACCCGGAATTTTTGGATGGTACTGGATGTTTGGGTCACACACATATGCATTCATTCTCCATCTTCTTCCAGCACTCTCCAAGGTGTCATTGGCTGGGAAGAGTGGCCCTTGTTCCGGGAAGGTGAAGGTCTTCTACAATGACCTGTGGAGCACGGTCTGTGCCATGGAGTGGGGCGCAGCTGAAGAAGCTGTACTCTGCACGCAGCAGGGGTGCGGCCCAGCACTGGAAATGGTTGATGTCAAGAAGGTGGATCTGTCAAGGGCTGCAACTCCACAGACACATTTCCGCAACCTGCACTGCAGCGGCTCCGAGGCGCATCTGTCACAGTGCAGCGCCGTCGTGTCCAGCGGATACAAATGTTACTCTGAGGAGGCCACGGCCACGTGTTCACAAGCAGGTAATGGTAAATGACCATCAGCAACAATGGGGACACAAGGGATGGGGGCAGGGCCATCTTTAATATTAATTGGGCCCTGGGCAAGACTTTGCTGATGGGCCTCCAAAACCCTGCAGCACCTGCCCCCCCTCCCACCTTCCCTACCCAGACCCCTGTATGCGCAATGGACTATGTCTATACTATTTGTAGAATGCATATGTTGAAAATGCAGTGCACCGTGCAGCAATTGTTTCGGGACATGCAATGGAAATGCAATTCCGATTTTGCTAAAATATCCCCGTACTGGTACATTTGTTCTGTTCTACTTAATAATAGAATAAGACTTTTGTGCCCTCCACCTCATTCTCCTCTTCTCCTCTGTGCCTGCTGGATCTCGTGTGGGGGGCGGGGGGGGGGGGGGGGTTGATCACTGAAGGAGGCGGCTACTGGTCGGTCTCCCCACCAACAGTGGCGCTTTGCTTGTTCTGTCTGCTGCTCGGGCGAGACGGATGGCTGCTGTGGTCCCCTGTAAATGATGGGGCCCAGGGCAGTTGCCCCTTTTGCCCTGCGGTAAAGACAGCCCTGGATGGGGGCAGGCCCAATGTTGGCGTCATATTAATATAATATTATTATATTAAGGGATCGCAGGTATGGCTAAGAGGATGGAGCTGGGGGTTAGACAGTCAGTTAGGGAATACAATGTAGGGCTCTGCATGAGGGTTAGGGGTTCATTGAAGGGATCAGGCTGAGCATTAGGTTTGGGGGTTCGATGTTCAGGTTAGGGGTTGAGTGGAGGTTTTATTAAGTCCTTCCTCAGGCTGGTAAAGACAATATTCCTGGCATAGGTCTGCCATGATGGGGCCATCCAGGATATACAGGGCAGTTCCTTCCCTGGTTTCGTTTTCATAAACAAAGCTGCCCGGCGCTCCTGGGTGATGTCATTGACCATATATGGTTATAACCAAATTTGGTCAATGACATCACGCAGGTTCCCCCGGCGTTGTTGTTTATAGCAGCACTGGGGAACTGTCATTGACAACGGGAGTAATGATGGGGCAGTACTGCCGTGGCAGCGGGTCGTCAGGTGTCACTCATGATTGATGTTGGATTTGCATTGTGGGACATTGTTTATTTTTTATGAAACAACCATTCAGATAGTGAGGGGCAAATATCTGGGGACCCCTTATACTCAAGGGGCTTCAAGATTCCCCACATTCACCCCCCACAGT